GAGCCCAGCAGGTCAAGGCTGCGGTGGCCAGGAGCGGCCACTGCACTCCAGTCTGGGCGACAGAGTGAGACTCCATCTCAAAAAAAACAAAAAAAAAAACACAATTCCTGGTCTCAAGCAGTCCTCCCACCTTGGCCTCCCAGAGTGCTGGAATTATGGGTGTGAGCCACTACGCCTAGTTTCAAGTGTGGGTTTTAAAATGCTAGCAATAATTCCGGCTACTTGGAAGGCTGAGGCGGAAGGCTCGCCAGAGCCCAGCAGGTTGAGGCTGCAGTGGCCGGAAGCGGACACTGCACTCCAGTCTGGGTGACAGAGTGAGACTCCAACTCAAAAATAAATAAATAAATAAAAATAATAAAAATAAAAAATAAAATGCTAGCAATAGGGCGGCCACAGTGGCTTAAGCCTGTAATTCCAGCACTTTGGGAGGCCGAGGTGAAAGGATTACCTGAGACCATGGGTTTGAGACCAGCCTGGGCAACATGGTGAGACCTTGTCTCTACAATAAATCAAAAAATTAGTGAGCATGGTAGCGTGCCCCTGTGGTTCTGGCTACCTGGAAGGTTAAGGCAGAAGTATCACCAGAGCCCAGCAGGTTGATGCTGGGGTGCCGTGAGCATACCACTGCACTCCAGCCTGGGCAATGGAGTGAGACTCCAACTCAAAAAAAAAAATAAAATAAAAATCAAGTGCTGCCAATGGCTGGGTACAGTGGCTCACGCCTGTAACCCCAGCACTTTGTGAGGCCAAGGCGAGAGGATTGTCTGAGCTCTGGAATTTGAGACTAGCCTGAGCAACATGAGGGGACCTTGTTTCTACAATAAATAAAAAAATTAGCAGGGCATGGTGGTGCACACCTGTGGTTCCAGCTACTCGGAAGGCTAAGGCAGAAGGATCACCTGAGCCCAGCAGATTGACGCTGTGGTGGCTATGAGCGTGCCACTGCACTCCAGCCTGGGCGATGGAGTGGGACTCCAACTCAAAAATAAAAAAAAAAGAGCATGAATGAATAAGTCCACACACTAAAATAGTTCCCTAAGAGGCTTATGTATAGAGGATAATATCAAGGCTTCTTAGCTCCCCAAATCGTGTCCTGGGTCAGGAGGGTGGTGGTGATATTTCAACTCTGAACCTCTCTGTTTCTCTTTTGTCTCTCTGATTTGTTCTTGCTAATACTCTGATTCTGTCTCTGTGTCTCTGAGTCTGCACAGGAAGCATGCAGTTTTAGGTCTGAGGTGACTAGTAACGGAAACATTGGTGTTTGCGTACATTTAATAAAGGGTTACATACTATTTTAACTTTGTCATACCTCTTGTCTCCTTCTCTGTGTGTCTGTCTCAAACCTGATTCCTTCTCCTCTTCTCCTTCCTGTGTCTAGCGCAAGACTCCCACCACCTACCAGGACCAACTCCTCCTGCCCCCGGTTCTTCTGATGGGCCCCACAAGGTACCTAAAGGAAAATTACCGAGCTAGGCCATCTCCTCCGATTTCCTGCCTGGCTGGCCACGCAGCTCTGCTGACCACATCCTCTCTCATTTACTTATACACTTCCTCACCAGACACATCACCCAGGCGTTCTCAGCCCCCGAAACCTGTCACTGACCTCCATCAGGCCCTCTGCTTTCTATATCCTCTCCTGTCACCCAAGGGCTCTTGTTCTTACCTCCCCCAGCACTGCTCTAAAAACCATGTCTCTCTGCCTGGCAACAGCCAGGCCTGTGCCCCTTGGGCTCTCCAATGCCCCTTTTTCCCACAGGTGACAGTGCTGACCACAATGCTGTCCAGCCGGTGGTGGCCAAATACCTGGGGGAGCCTAGGGCTGGGGCCCCGTAGCCCTTCTCGGGGAGCCCAGCTCTGTGCCCTCTATGCCTTTACTTACACCGGGGCAGATGGCCAGCAGGTGTCTCTGGCTGAAGGGGACAGGTTTCTGCTGCTTCGAAAGACCAACGCGGACTGGTGGCTGGCACGGCGCCTGGGGGCACCCTCCACCTCTCGACCCATCTTCGTCCCAGCTGCTTATGTGACAGAGGAATCTCTCCTTTCCCAGAGCCCAACTGCTACCATCCCCAGCCAGTCCCTCTGGACACCTGGTGAGTAAGGCCTAAGCCTCCCTCACCCACCAGGCTCTCTTGCTCCTGGGAATAACTGAGAGGATCCCCTCCCTCTGCTGACCCCCTTCTCTTTTTTTTTTTTTTTGAATTGGAGTCTCACTCTGTCGCCCAGACTGGAGTGCAATGGCCGCTCCCGGCCACTGCAGCCTCGACCTGCTGGGCTCCGGCAATCCTTCCGCCTCAGCCTTCCGAGTAGCCAGAATTACAGGCGCGCGCTACCATGCCCGGCTGATTTTTTTTGATTTATTGTAGAGATGAGGTCTCGCTGTCCGGGCAGGTTTCAAACCCGCGGGCTCAGGCAATCCACTCACCTCAGCCTCCCAAAGGCGCGGGATTACAGGCTGAGCCACCGAGCCCTACTGACCCCCTTCTCTTATTTGCCTCTGATCACTTCATCCCTATCGTGGTGTCCCCATCCTATTGCCTATCTTTCTGGTCCCAAGCCTTCTAGTTCTCCTGTAATTTTCCACAGGCTCCCTCTGCCCTCGTCTCCCCTGTGAACCTCCAGAATGGAGCTCTGATCACCTGCCCCTGCCCCTGCCCTCCCCATTTCTGTTTCTAGGGTCCCAGTTGTCTCACAGCTCCCTGGAGGAGCTGCCCCTGTCTCAGGGACTCCCCAGCAGAGCTCAGACTACATCCGAGCAGCCTCCCCCGCTGCCTCCGAAAATGGGTAGAAGTGTCAGTGTTGTCAACCTGAGGCCCAGCCTTCTAAGGCCCCTCCAGAAAGAAAATGAAAGATCGCTCTCTCAGGAGGACTTGCTGTCAGAGGCCAGTGCTGCCATGGTGAGTCACGGCCTTTGTGAGCCGGATCAGTCCACACATATTGACTGCTGGGCCCTGTTCTAGGCAGAAAGGCTAACAGGACAGAGAGCATCCCTGCCCTTAAGGGACACCCCCCCATGACAAACACACAAAGGAATAAGTAAAATAACCCTTCCTACTGATAAGCCTGCAAAGGAGAGTTAATGAGGCAAGGAGAGGGGCTGAAGTGGCGGTGATGGGGGCATCTCTGAGGGCGTGGCATTCAGTTGAGTCTGAACAAGGGGCAGGCATAAGGGAAACCAGCAGATGAAAAGGGACAGAAAGTGGCAAAGGCTCTGAGGGAACAGGGAACCTGGCACAATGGAGAGGCTTCAAGGACAGCCCTGCGCTTTCTCTCTTCCTCCTGAAGGCTAGCCCAGGGCAGGATTCCCCCCACTTCTGTCTTACCAGCTAGGTCACCAAGTTCCCTCTAGAGATGGCACTCCCTTGCTCAACCCCTCCCCCCTCTCTCACCAGTGGATGGAAAGCACTCCCCTCCCTCATCATGGGGGTCTCTGACCCCCTCTGTCATCTTTACTCTGCAGGATGTGAGAGTGGGGCGCTCCCCTCAACACCCCCCCCACTGAAAAGCCTGTTCCCCTTTCCTGCGGCCCTGGGGTGGGGGCGGGGTGGGGGAGGAGGGAAGTTGGCAACAGGAAGTGAGGAGAAAAGCAAAGAAGACTGTGAGGAAGAGAATTTTTTAAAAGTAGCTGGGGACTGGGGTTTCTTCCCTGGTACCTGGGTCACCCCAGCCAGGAGCTGGTGGTGAGAAAATGGAGGGGAAGGGAGGAGGAGGCGGTAAGGTGGAGAGGAGCTTAGGGAGGGCCAAAGGCAGAATAACCACCTCCTTCTTCCCCTCTCCCCGCAGGCAGGCCCCCAGCCCCTCATGTCAGAGCCCCCTGTGTACTGTAACCTGGTGGACCTCCGCCGCTGTCCCCGATCCCCACCCCCAGGCCCTGCATGCCCCCCACTGCAGAGGCTGGATGCCTGGGAGCAGCACCTGGACCCCAACTCTGGACGCTGCTTCTATGTAAACTCGCTGACCGGTTGCAAGTCCTGGAAGCCTCCACGTCGCAGCCGCAGCGACACGGTGAGACCTTCCCTCCTTCCTGCTCGTCCCTTTGTCCCCTCAGTCTCTTCCCCCTACTGAATCTCAAGGTAGTGTGTTTTCTCTGTGGGATGCTCAGAAGATCAGAAAAACCAGCAAAGTGTGGAGGGCAGGCCGTGGTGGCATCTAGCTGCAGCTCTGTCTCCCTCTCCCCTAACCCAGACCCCTGGCTCCATGGAGGGGACACAGACCCTGAATAGGGACAACAGTGTGCTGCAACCTCAGGCAAAGAGCTCAGGATTTGACACAGGGACCCCAGAACTTCTCGACCCACAGGTGAGATCCCTCCCACCTCCCAAGCATGCAGAAAAAGTCAACCTGTTACAACTCTCCTGTAAGATATTCTTCCTCGTGGCCCACCACACCTCTGCCTGTCACCCACAGCCCACCCCTCGTCCTCCTGCAGCCAGGGAGCCCTAAGTTGGAGGTCCCTCCCCCTGTTTATCGAATCTCCTCCTCCAGGATCCCTCCGGCCTCAGCCAGCGGACCTCTCAGCTTGACCCTTCAGACAGGCCTCAAGCCCTGCAGCCCCCGCGACCTCTGCCGCAGCTCCTGGACGACCCCCATGTGAATCTCCCATTTCCTTGCGAATGCCAAGATCCTCCCTGTCTCCCCCACCCCTCGCTTCCAAAGCGTCTTCCTCTTTCTGGGTACCCTCTCTTCCCCAGCCCTGCCCCTCCCAACTTTAAAGGACCCCACTCCTGGGAGGCCCCCTAGGGAAAGCCAGCCACCGCCACTGTGGAGGGCACAGGGCGACTTACAGATACCACTCCCCCCTTCCCAGGAGGTGGAAAAGTCGGGCCTGCTCAATATGACTAAGATCGCCCAAGGGGGGCGCAAACTCAGGTGAGGAGAGCCCAGAGAACTGCGGGGCCCGGGCTGGTGGGTCGTGGGAGAGGGCAGAGTGTCCCCGTGTAATTCCACAATGACCTTTTCTCTGCCTCTCCTGCCCCCCACCGCCCCCGCAGGAAGAACTGGGGCCCATCTTGGGTGGTGTTAGCGGGCAACAGCCTCGTGTTCTACCGAGAGCCACCGCCGACTGCGCCCTCCTCGGGCTGGGTGAGTGTGAGTGACCACCGGGCGCAGACGGCCGGGGCGCAACTTCTTCCGGCCTCAGGCCAACGGTGG